AGTAGATTGCCCAACCTTCCTTCTGAGGTGTGGCTGGTGGGTTTGAACTGCCAGCCTTCTGGTTAGCAGTCAAATGCCAAGGCACTGTGCCACCAGATGTACAGCACTGGGCAAATTGGCTACAAAAGATCACTTTTAAGTGAAGAGCAAAGATGTCTCCTTGAGGTCTAAGGTGCACCTGACACAAGCCATGCTATTTTCAATCACCCCATATGCATGTGAGAGCTGGACAATGAATAAGGAAGACTAAAGAAGAGTCGATGCTTTTGAGTTGTGATGTTGGTGAAGAATGCTGAAAGTACCATGGACTGCTAAAAGAACTAATAAATCTGTCCTGGAGGAGTTGCAGCCAGAATGCTCCTTGAAAGCAAGAATGGCCAGACTTCTTCTCACCTACTTTGCTCGTGCTATCAGAAGGGACCATCCACTATAGAAGCATGTCATGCTTGATAAGGTGGAGTGTCAACGAAAGAGGGGAAGGCCCTTAACCAGATGGATTGATACAGTGGCAGCAACAATGGGCTCAAGTATAGCAGGGATCATGGAGCTGGCACAGGACTGGGAGGTGTTTCATTCTGTTATGCATAGGGTCGCAATGAATTGGAGACAACTTGATAGCACCTAGCAACAACAACCATTTTGTGGTTAAACTTTAATAGATTTCAATTCTTGACTTAGAGAGAATGTGTGTATGCATATAAATCTCATACCAGTGGTAGAGATAAAGAAACTGAGACTCATACATGATAAATAATTCACCCCAAGGTCACACAACTAAGATGGAACAGAGAGAGGATTTCAGTCCTGCACTCTTAACCATTCCCCTGCAGTGCCTTCATTTTAAACTGGTTGGCTGGGATTATGAGTTGTAATACTAACACTACCATAAAGCCCTAGTGTTAGGGGTAGGGGACCTCCCTGAGTGGTGGAAATGGTTAACACACTTAGCTGTCAATGAAAAGGTTGGAGGTTCAAGTCTACCCACCACACCTTGGAAGGAAGGCCTGGAGATCCACCTGCAAAAACATCACCCTTTCAAAACTCTATGGAGCACAGTTACACTCTGATATACCTGCAGTCGCCATAAGTCAGAATCAACTTGAAGAAATTGGTTACTGGTTTGGTGAAAAAAATAGGTTACAATCATACTAAAAACCTTATCCATTTCCCTCCTGTGTTTCAATTCCTTTATTTCTATAATTGACCTTGATCTTCCTTGCTTCCACTCACAAGTTCCAATGAAGAAACAAGTGAGATCTTTAATGTCATATTGTGGTTTTACAACATTCTTAGGACACCACCTTGTCCTCTTCAATACATTTTAAAATCATCCTCTTGATTCTGAAATTATCTAATGAAACACATTGCATTTCTTTTTCAAAAAAAATATTATTTAGCCTTGTCTAGAAGTAAAACTGATAAATGAATGCACTGGATTCATTAATGAAGCATATCAAATTAACAAAAAGTTTTAAAACACTAACAATTCTAAAATACATTTATCTGAGACAGAGAAAAATATAGTAGTTTTTCCTTTTTATACAGATTGTGGCCACAGGACTCTGCGGCTCAGAGATGAAAATGCTGAACAATTGTCAACGTTTTCCCATTATTTTGGGCCATGAAGCGGCTGGAATAGTTGAGAGTGTGGGAGAAGGAGTGAGTACAGTTAAAAAAGGTATGAATTGGGACCTGGGGTTTGGAAATAGCACCAAATTAGAACCCACAAGCGGAAAATAAAAAACATTCCTTAAATATATTGAAATCAAGTGCAATACAAGGTGAAACGTTGCCTGTTTCTTAGAAAAGCTGAGATAACATTTCATAAGTTAAACCAAATATCAACTTGGCTAGTTATATTGGGAAAAAAAGTAAGTTGAGGTCCTACCTCATTCCTTATATAAAAATATTATATATTAATATAAGATATAAAAATGAAAAGTGAAATCATGGAAGCACTATAAGATCACATGAGAGAACTATGTATTATCAGTGAAGAGAAGGAAATTTAAAACTATGAAAATAACCAGAAGATTTAAAATAATATGTTGACAAATTTGACCACATAATTTTTAAATGCATTTTTTAAAAGTGTTAAAATACCCCAAAATTCAAGAAACAAACAAAAAACTGGAAAAAAATATTAGAAGCATTTTCAATGTGAAAGGGCATCAGAGACTTCCCTGGGGCAGTGGAAAAAATGCACAACACCAGAGAACCTCTGGCCTCTCCACAGATGTACCTTCAGTACTGCTTTTATTGGTAAACTTGGGACCACTGGTAGGGAGCAGAGATCCATCTGGTCCCGGGTACCACTGAAGCGGGAGCAGAGAGAACATTAATGCTGCAAGTGAGTGGGCCCTGGGGCGAACTCCCATTGCAAATCAGGGTAGTTATCCTAGTTCAACTTTTTGGCATGGAGGGGCCTGGAGAGCAGGGTTTTTGCACCTGTCTGAACCTGGACAAAAGTGGCGGCCCCCTAACAATTAGAGTCTTTGCTGAACTTGATCTGCAGGCCTGTGAGTAACAGTATAATGTCATCATTAGCAGCCCACTCAAAGGCCTAGAAACCACTCCTGGGACCTTGGAGCTTCTCTCTCTCTCTCTTTCTCTCTCTCTCTCTTTTCTTCCCCTTTCTCCACCTCTACCCTGCCTCATCCAATAGAAAAACCACATTCCACAACCATAACACCTGCTGGCTTGAATCCTAAACTCCCTTTATGACAAACAGAGACCTGAATCCACATTCTACACAATGATTCCATCATCACAAAGAAAATTGCAGAGCAACCCAGCATACCTGAATTGATAGACAAAAAAAAAAATAAAATACACCAGCTCCATCTTTTCAAAATATTAAATCATAAAACCAAGACAAAGCAAACCAATACATAACAGTTAAAAGCAACTTCAAAATGTTTAGGAAAAAAAAAAAAAGGATAAGACATTAGAAGTAAAATCCCAAACAAAAGTCTCATTAAACATGGAGGAAGAGCAGGAAATAGAATTATCTGAGAAGGAATTTAGATGGTATGTTTGTAGAAATCTACAAGAGCTTAAGGAAACCCCAAACAGAAGCAAGGAGAACACAGACAGTTCCCTGGAAGAACTCAGGAAAACCACTGAAGAATAAAATAACAAGATCAATGCACAGTTAGAACTCATACAAAAACAGCAATTGGAAATCCAGAAGATGAATACTAAAATTACAGAATTGCACAAGACAGTGGAAGCACAAAAGAATAGGATAGAACTGGCTGAAAAACACATTTCCTAACTAGAAGACAAATCTCTGGACACCAGACTGTTTGAAGAAAAATCAGAACAAAGATTTAATAAAAATGAAGAGAACCTAAGAGTTATATGAGACAACATGAAAAGAAACAATATATGCCTCATTGGAATTCCAGAACAAGAAGAGGTGAAAAAAACCTGAGAAAATTGTGGAAGACCTACTAACAGAAAACTTCCCCCATATCATGAAGAAAGAAAAGATATTTGTCCAGGAAGCTCATAGAACCCCATACAGGATAGATCCCAAGAGAAAACACTGAGGCATATCATAATCAAACTCTCCAAAACCAAAGACAAAGAAAGAAGTTTGTGAGCTGCCTGGGACAAATCAAACAGTTAGGCTGAGCTCTGATTATTCAACAGAAACCACGCAGGCAAGAAGGCAATGGGATGGCATATATAAAAAACACTGAAGGAAAAGAACTTCCAATCAAGAATCCTATATCCAGCCAAATTGTCCATCAAATATGAGAGTAAAATCAAGACATTCCCAGACAAACAGAAATTAAGGTATTTTGTGAAAACCAGACCAACCCTTCAATAAATGCTTAAGGAAATCTTCCCAATAGAGAACCTGCAGTGTAGTAAATTACTTAGTGTGGCTTTTCTACCCATAAGTCTTTGTAAACTCCAAGGTGTGATTTTCTATGAGCAACTGAGGAGCTCCTGATTGCTAAAGTTGTCCACCTGGAGTATTTCTGTTGGGAGTGGCACAAAACAATGTTCTGGGAGGTGCCCACTCTCTCTCACGTGCTTAGAGTTCTGATGCTATGATTGGCTAGTTTGGCCACCCTGCTGGGCTCAAAAGGAGGCCTCCTAGAGGCAGAAGTCTCTCTCTGACTGCTGGCTGAGGAAGGACATGCTCCTGCGAGAGATGTGCTCCTACAAGAGGCACGTGCTGCTGAAAGAGACATGCACTGCTGGGAAAGAGACGCAAGAGACATACATTGCTGAGTGAGACACCAAAGGACCAGAACTGCTGGGAAAGAGACTGTGAGAGACTGTTGGCTGAGGGACAGTGGGCTGGGAGAGAGATTGAGCATTTTTCCTGAACTTGAATTGTAATCTGGTGCTTCCCTAATAAACTCCATAATCTGTGGGTTCTGCATGGCTACTGCAGTGAATTATTGAACCCAGGAGAGAGGTGGTGGGTGCTTTGGGAGGAACAGTTGGTGAAACGGCTGGAGGGAGGCAGCATGTTTGGCCTTGCAGTAATAGGCCTTGGGTTATTGCTGGTAATCCTGTCTTCCTCTTGTGGGATAAGAGGAGGTCAGAACATGTGGCCTCCTTGCCATTTTTGCAGAACCCAAAACAAAGAGCAACAAATATAGGACATATGACATCAACACTAAAACCAAATCAGAAATAGACATTCAAAATAAGACCATAAAACACTGTACCTAAAAATCAAGGACACCAACCTGCACATGATAACAGCAACTAACCAAATGGGGGAAATAAAAATTCTAGGTACAAACTTCCAAATGGAGAGTAAAACAGGACAATGTCCTCATAGAACAGACTGTTCCAAAATATAGAGACAAGAATTCACTCTAAGGTGAATCTAACCACAGAGAAAATTAACAATCCCCCTAAGCAAATCTAGAAGGAAGGAACACATATGGGTTTAATAAGCTCAAAGCCAACAATAAAGAAGAAAAGAGAGGAAAAACTTGATAACAAAACTAACTCAATACAGAAACGTGTATAGACCAAGGAAACTCCAACAACACAACCAAAAAAAAAACACAACAGAATGACAGCAATCAATTCATACCTATCACTAATTACACTCAATGTGAATGGACTAAATGCACCAATCAAGAGAAAAAGTGGCAGACTAGATAAGAAAAGAAGACCCATCAATATGCTGCCTACAAGAGACCCACCTTAGACACAAAGATAAAAACAAATTAAGAGTTAAGGGGTAGAAAAAAATATACCAAGCCAACAGTAACCAAAAAAGAGCAGGAGTGACAATATTAATTTCTGATAAAATAGACTTTAATGTGAAAAACAACATAAGAGACAAAGAAGGACATTATATGATACTGAAAGGGTCAATTGACAAAAAAGACATTATGATAATAAATATTTATGCACCCAATGAAAGTGCTCCAAATACATGAAACAAGTATTAAATGAATTGAAAGGGACAATAGACAACTCTAGAATAGTAGTAAGAGTCTTTAATACACCATTTTTAAGCAGGGACAGATCAACTAGAAAAAAACTCAACAAAGATACAGAAGACCTCAACAACCCAATCACCCAACTCGACCTCATAGACATGTACAGAGCATTCCACCCAACAAAAGCATGACTCACATTCTTCTCCAGTGCACATGGATCATTCTCTAGAATAGATCATACGATAGGACATAAAGCAGGCCTCAATAAATTAAAAAACATTGAAATACTACAAAGCATCTTCTCGAACCACAATGCTATAAAATTAGAAATTAGTAATAGGAAGATCAAGGAAAAAACATCAAACATGGAAGTTGAAAAATTCACTGCTCAAAAACTACTGGGTAATAGAAGAAATAAAAAGTGGAATAAAAAATTCCTAGAAATAAACAAGAGTGAAGATACATCATATGAAAACCTATGGGCACAGTGAAAGCAGTACTCAGAGATCAGTTTATAGCAATAAATGCATACATCAAAAAAGAGGAAAGAAACAAAATCAACACTCTAACTCAATAACTCCAACTAGAAAAAGAACAACAAAAGAATCCTACTGTATCTAGAAGTAAGGAAATAATAAATATCAGAACAGAAATAAATAGAAAACAAAAAAACAATAGAGAAAATCAACAAAGCAAACAGCTGGCTCTTCAAAAAGATTAACAAAATCAACAAACCATTGGCAATATAACAAAAGAAAAGAAAGAGAGGATGCAAATTACAAGAATAGTAAACAAAAAGTGTGTCATCACAACATAACCAACTGAAATAAAAAAAGGTACTAAGAGAATATTATGAAAAACTGTACTGCGACAGATTTTAGAACCTAGAAGAGATGGACAAGTTTCAAGAATCACAAGACCTACCTAAACTATCCCACTCAGAGATAGAATACTTGAACAGACCTATAACAAAA